TATATATGAAAATCAACACATTCATGCGCACTTCTTAGCGGCCTGGTGCGGGTTTGGTGGGTGGTGAAGCAAGATATAGATCCAAGTGCAACGAGAAGCTCCCCGCCTACCCTGCTGTACAAAAAAATAATAATATTATCGACTATTGTTTAGAAAAAAAAACATTGTTCATGCGCACTTCTTAGCTGCCACATTTTCGGTTTTGCCTGTGGTGCAGCATGATGTGGAACGAAGCCCAAGGGGGGGGACGGGGGGGAGGGGGGGGGCGCCACTTGAATTATAAAAAAAAATACATATATTCCTTAATATATATAAAAATCAAAACATTCATGCGCACTTCTTAGCGGCCCGGTGTGGGTTTGGTGGATGGTGAGTCAAGATTTTGACACAATGTTTATGATTGACTAGCCTCTCTGTTGTTTTACGTGCGGGCATTGCCCGCACCGCCCGCATCGCGGGCGCTAAGCTAGTATATATATATAAATGAATACATGCAGGTATATGGAACAAAAAAGTTGTTTATTCAAAAAAAAAAAACCACCCTGTTTCCCCTTGTTGCTGCCCAAAAAAATAATAATAAAAAATATAAATGAAAAAAATAATAATAAAATAATAATAATAAAAATAATAATACTAAAATTGTAAACACACTTACCAAACCAAAAAAAGAAAAGAAGAACCCCCTTGATACACAAATATAGCACACATAATTCCCCTTATCCTCCTGAATGCTATCCCCACGGCTTTCCCACCCAAGCGGCATCACATCCTCAGGAGCTGACATGAATAAAACAAACATACACACGCGCCGCTTTAGCTGAAACGACGCAAACAAAAAACTCCCACGAAAAATCCGTAGATATGACCCATACCTATTCACACTAAGATATACTGTCTACACTACACTCCTGCTCCTACCCACAAAACAGATAAAGAATATACACGCGCTGCCTCCACCAGAGACAAAAACATCCCCAGGGCCAAATTCTTGACCTTAACGCATACAGGAAGAAACACCACAAAACAACAACGAAAAAGAACGCAGTCCACCACGTACATGTCGAACACAAAAACAGAGCCTTCGCAAAAATCCTACAGCACACGCCACCATACCCGCACAACAAGATAAAAGCCAACCCAGCTCGCGCAACGAGTCAATACCTCCACATGCTGCAATTGACCATACTACCCCCACCGCCAATCGAACACGAACACATACCCCTGTACTAAGCTAGCACCCCCGTCCCTACGGCCCTACCCGCTAACCTCGCACACTGCTCTTCCACGCCTATTCACCATCTCCAGCATGACAACCAATAACACCCTCTCCAATACCCCCACCCCCATACCCTCCCGCCCACCACCCTTCCCACCCACATCCCTTCCACATCAAAAAAGAACCCCATACCTTCTACTTAAGAGCACGACCTACCGATGGGGATCCTCAGAACCCAGTGCATACCGATTCAATCCCACTCATCGCTCTGGTCTCGCAAACTATCGTCTTCGTCAATTCCATGTTTCATGCTTCGCCTTCCAAATCTCTACATATTTTCCCACTCTGTTACTCCTTCCTTACCACCTTCTTACGCAGTGCCTGTGTGTCGAATTCTACCCACCATAGCCTGCGTCTGGTGTTAGATATTGCCTCTGGTAGCTCCCACCTAACTGGTGGAAGTGCCCGCTACTTAGCGAGCCCATACCAGGTCGGCAGAGATAGTTCTTTGAGCTGACATACTCTGCGACTACTGGCGATTTTCTGAGGACTTGAACGATGGCCCAGGGCACGAATGCGGCCCCTGGCATGAACGTCGAGGAACACATGGTACGTTACCATAAGCTTTCTCTGTATTTCATCGATTTTGTCTCTCTTCCTACACCTTCCCTTCTGGGAGCCAGAGGAACACCACCCTCTAATGAGCCGTGACTGGCGCAAGCGGCGAAAAGCGCTTTAGGGGATGCGCCAGCCCTTCTCCATTGGCAAGATGGCCAATGTATGATGGTCATACCATCATTTGCTCCCTCCCATATCTCTCTCTTTCTCTCCCTCCTTCCTGACTTTTTGTTGGCTGCAGGAAATAGAATATGGCGTACCTATGGATGGTGGTGGTTGTTACACAGCAGAGCGTGCATGATTGAGGATGAGACCAGGTAAGGTTTCCCATACCGTGGGTTGCTATGGTAGCATTTTGCTTGTACACAGACACACACACACACACACACACACACACACACACACACACACACACACACACACACACACACGCATGCACGCACGCATGCACGCACACACACACACACACACA